ATTTTGATGTTTTCTTGCTTTGGCGAGGCACCAGATAAATCATGTTGACTTGGTTCACTCACAGATCTAGGCTTGGGAACATTTTCACCGAATCCTGCTTGAACAGAAATATCAGGAATTTCCATCTTCACTTCCAGGGTTTCCGAATTCAATGACACATGTGCATCGCTATGCTTATGATCCTTTCCTTCGGCATCCTGAGATAATTCTGCCTCTGTTATGGAAACAATGGAGCTTTTACAACTCTCAGTATCAGGGATCACTGGTTGAGAGGAGTGATCCACCTTCAACCGTTTTAATGAAGGCTGCAATTTATCTAAAGGATCAGCACAACGAGGGGCACCAGAAACCACAACAGCAGAAGCGTGTACAGAATCATTTGATACTACAGCTTTGTTCACTGAGCTAACTGCAGTGTTTTCGCTTTTTATACGAGCCAGAGCTCTTGCATTAGCTTGTTGCTGAAAGTAGGTCCTTACTGGCACACAGACAGGGCACCGAGGATCCTTGCAATTTTTATAGTGGTTAATCAATGCCTTTGTGGGACGACAACGAGGATACAAACACTGAGGTTCACCACAACTATCCATGTGACTCCATAATTTCTTAACAGTAAAGCAATTTCGGTCTTGGCACCTCCCTCCTGGTGGTTTGCAGGTCCGTGCATGACGTAGAAACAGGAGCCATCTCTGTTGATTTCGGAACCGGGGATCTTGGCTGATGTTTCCATATCTAAATGTGGTACTAATAGAATTTTGCAGATTATGGGATTCGGATATAGTAGAAGTATGACTTTGACCAATAACAGATCCTTCAGTCGTATTATTAGGTTGAGCTTCATCCATTCCGGTAATTCTTTGATGGAAATCCTCCTGAACGTGCTGTTCACTTGACATACCATTAGACATTTGAGTATTTTCCTGAGACTGGGAATGCCACTGACCACGTGGATTGGATTCTGATTTTGCTCTAACAGCAAGATTGCTACATCTGTTGATAGAATTAGAACCTATGTTCTGGGGATGCAGCATCTGCTGAACCTGCTGGCTATTTTGAGGAAGTGATGTGCATATATCACTCTGACTTGTGACTGAGAGAAGCTGAGCGTCTGCATGGCAGTCTTCTCCAGAGTTCTGATACTGATTCTGGAACTGAGAAAGCTGGAATCGTTCAGATGCTTGGGAGTGCACTGATTCACTATGGTTCTCCATTCCAGGTTCATGTTTAGCATTTGTAACCATATCAGAAGCCACCTGCGCTTTCACCAAACCATCTTTGCTAATTAATCTGTGTTGCTGCAGGGGCTGCTGCTTCAATTTCTGTTGATGAAGAAATTGCTTCTGCTGCTGTTGAATCTGATTTGATTGTTGCTGAAACTGAATAGGCTGTTGCTGAAGTTGTTGTTGCGGATGTGACTGCAGATAATGTAGGGCAAATAGATTGGAATTCTGAATACTCGAAGTGATAAATCATTAACTGGTGTGCATTGTTGCATGCAAATGAAATCTAATGATTGCTCACCAGAGAAGAGTTAGCTCTGGACACAGACTGTAAACTTGCTGCACCGGTATTTTGAGCATTTTTCACTGTCCCAATCGATGTTACAGCTCCATGCAAATTTCCAGATCCAAAGCGGTTAGGATTTGTTGTGCTACGATCTTCCCCTGAAATATGAAACATGCTTTTGATATTCTGACTGGTAGTCATTCACAATATATATGAAATAGGATAATCAGTGGACAGAAGAAAAAAAGAGAGAAATTACCCTGCATTCCTGACTGTGGGAAGTGATCAATAGCCTGCTGTAAATTTTTGGAAGAATTGGTGTAAGATAAACCTGAGTCTACATTTTTTTCGTTCACTCCAGTACCACCATTTACAGAGCTATTGGCCACACCAGATGGCTTTGGTTGCACGTCCGGTCTAAGGCCAGCAGCCATTTGGTTGGGCAACATGTGACTAGTTTGACCACCAGTATGCTGCCTTTGTTGTTGCTGCTGAGACTGAGGTACCATTGTTGGCTCAGCAGAAAACCCATTAGTACCACTATTAACAAACCCAGGTGTAGGAATCATCTGGCTAGTACTACTTTGGGTACTCAAGGATGCCATGTTCCCTCCAGAACCAAGAGAAAAGTTTCTCGATGCATGCTGGTATCCATTAGACATACTACCTGCAAACAAGTTGTTAAGGTGTCAGAGAAACATGAAATGAAATTTTCCAGGGCAAGTATCTACAATCACTTTAATGAACGAACCTCCATGCGTGCCACCAGCAGTTAGTTGGTTTCCTGTGTTCACAGCTGTGTTTGTGATGTTGGTAGCATCAGCAGAGGATGTAACCTTCAAATTAGTATTACCCCCAGCTTGTGACAATCCTGGAGTAGGTATCATCGTTCCAACAGAAGGGGAATTAGCATGTCGTTGATTGTGGTTATTCATCTGTCTGCCTTTTATAAGACTTGTAATCCGAGATTCAAGGGTTGTCCGGTTCACGTAATCCTCCTGTAGTATAAGTTAAAGTGAGGAAATGAGTCAACAAGCTGAGTCTAGAGGCAAAATGTCAAAAAGCATCAGCCAATCTTGTTGAAATTCCCCAGTAAACCAAATCATAAACGGCAACTAGAGATCAAATATTTTTCCTTTAGATACACAGAATTTTTTTGAGATACCTTTGAGCTAGCCATTTTAAACAGCCCCTCCTCTAAGCGTCTAGCAACATCCATATACTTTGCCTTAGATGCAGCATCAGCCGAAGATGGTTGCCGTTGCTGTAACATGTTAAAGCTAGAAAGACAGGAAGAACAAGGCAGTCAGTTACAAATAGTCCCTCATGAAGTAACCATCAGAAAAATCTCAAGGAGCAGAAACACTAAAATCGGTTTTTAAGAAACGAAGCAGATAAGCAGTAATGCAGCCAAAACAGCAATAAGTTCGATCATTCCCATCCCACATTGAGACAACATTAACTCAAACAATAACACAAGTGGCAGTTAACAGACAAGCAGTGCAAAATGAACGAAACAAAACCACCATTAATAGTGGGAAGACACATTTGATGTAGCTAAAAGATTGAAGGCTTACACAAGCGTTTGCATGTACTGTCGAAGTTTCTTGATTTCATGGTCCATATGGCCAGTGACGTTAGGTGAAGACCCTACACGGGCACCAGCACCAACTAAATTCTGCATTTGAGAGTTGCCATTATTCTGCGGCATTGTCCCTTGGCTTGGAACCTGCCCGGACAGTTGTCCCGACGTATGAGCCTGAACATTCATGTTATTTCTTAAGTCTTCGTCGCCTTCTCCTAATTCTTCTTGCAACTAACACTAACAGGCACTGCATACTGTCCCCGATCGAAAGCTCATCTCCTACTCTTAATTATATCTCTAGATGATCTCAATGTAAGAGCTCGCCGCGCACAATACGCGTAGAGTATCCTGCAAAACAATCTTCTACTCTCAGTTATACTAGTATCATAGACTCTGATCAACAAAAATGAGAATTACGAAAGCAGACAACATGAGTAGCAATAGAAAAGCAACCAAAAGTGAATAAAAAAAAAAAAAAATTTCTGAATTGCCCCAAATAAAAAAAAACCTAAAACTCAATCATACCTTGAAATTGATTCACAAAGTAGCAAACTTTAGGCGCAAAGAGCAGAACCCAGCAAATAAAAATTCTCCTTGAAAAGGTCACTGAAAACGAAACCGTTAGTAGTGGTGATTACGATGATCGGTTCTCCGAAACGAAGTAGTAATAAAGTCGGTGAATAGCTGATGTCGCACGTGTGAACTCACAC